CTGTAACTCGATAGAGTTGATACTACCGTCTGTAACTCGATAGAGTTGATACTACCGTCTGTAACTAGGCTCCAAATGTACCTTTCTTGATTGGACGTGCATAGAGTGCCTCTACTCAGTACTCTGTAGATTTCTTGCCGCCGTGTGTATTATCGGTGATTGAGGATCTGGTGATTCTAGGTTAATTATCATGATTCTGCAATTAAATTATTTTAAAGATTGTTGATAGTTGACCTCACGAACGGCTTAAACCGGGCAATAATATAGTAATAGCGAAAACTTATGGCGAGACAAAAAAATCCGAAAGAAATAAATAAGTTTGTTCGTGGATTTTCGGCCATGTTTTTCTTCTGCTTATTGGGTCTTGAGATGAAACGTATAAAGCTGTTGGAGAACGTGCAAGCCAACGAACGTTCAACGAAGTGTCAATCACGCTCATGCTGAGGGATGACGTCTGAGTCAAGTCACTCTAGAATATAAATCAGAAAAATTTATCAATTACAATCACGGAACATAGGGAAGTTTTTTCTAGCACCACTATAATTATGACCGTATTTTAATTTCCTAATCAATTCAGTCATTTTAAATTCTTGCGATAAATTAAGTCAATTTATTAGTTCATTATTGGCTATCAGTGTTGCTTTAATTGAACTGAATATAAGGCACAGCATCTTTATTGTAATAAGAGGCCGTGCAGCGGCTTAGGATCTTTACAAAACACCTTCACTGACACAGAAATGCACGTATTCCCTGCCGGACTTACGGTGTATGCACTGTTAGAAAATCGACCGTAAAAAAAACGTTCCCCCCCGGCGTTACAGTGGCCGGTTATTTACCGTTAAATTAAACGACGGGAACGTTTTCCCGCACGAAAACGGTACGCCCGTTTTGTACTTTACGGTTTCCTACAGTTTCTTTCATACAGACTATTATAATCCGACATAGCCACACATAAGAAGACATAGCGAGACATAAGGAGACAAAGCGAGACATAAGAAGACATAGCGAGACATAAGGAGACATAACGAGACATATCGAGACATAAGGAGACAGCGAGACATATGGAAACATAGCGAGACATAAGGAGACATTGCGAGACATAAGGAGACAAAGCAAGACATAAGGAGTCATAGCGAAACGTGAGGGTACATAGAAAGCCATAAGTAGACATAGCGAGACATAAGGAGACATAGCGAGGCATAAGGAGACATAGCGAGACATAAGGAGACATAGCGAGACATAGCAAGACATAAGGAGACATATGGAGATATAATGAGACAAAGCATGACATAAGGAGACATAGCAAGACATAGCGAGACATAAGGAGTCATATGGAGACTTAGCGAGACATAGCGAAACATGAGGAGACATGGAGAAACATATGGAGCCATAGCAAGACATAAGGAGACATGGCGAAACATATGGAGCCATAGCGAGAAATAAGGAGATAGCAAGACCCAAGGAGACATGGCGAGTCATAAGAGGACAGCGAGACATAAAGAGACAGGACGAGACATAAGACATGGCGAAACTTAGAGAGACATAGCGAGGCATGATGAATAATAACGCGAGGAATTAGTTCATATCTTTATTGGTTCAACTGAAATATTTTTCGGAAGCTACATCGCAGACTGTATTTGCATGCAGGAAAATATTCCACGGATATATAGATGCATCTTCATTAATAAAAATAAAGAAACTGCAGTTTGATGCATCGTGAATATATTGATAAGGAGAATATTACTTTTACACTACTATTCCTAACAAATGAAATCAGTAGAAATTAGTTACCACTCCACTAAGAAATTTACACTCTTGGCAAATTAAAACTAAAGTGAATTAAATACAATTTTTCATCCGAATCCAAATGGCGTACGGGTGCCGATAACAGGTCATCATTCCCGATATCAGTGATTAGACCAAATCAACGCAAGTGAGACGTAATATACCAAAGCGGTCAGGGACCTTAACATTGAAATAAAAAGCACTATAAAATAACAGTCGACGTATGCAAAAGATTGTGAAAATCACTGCATTCAGGTTTTCGTCGTCTGTGGTGTAGTGGGAAGCGAGAAGCGTCACCAGTCCGTCCACGAGGCACGACACCTCGCATCTGCTGATGGAACGACAGCGCTGCTCTGCGTGCACTAATGACGGTCCTGAAGAGGCAAAATATGGAATTAATACAATCACCATCTGTTTTAATCATTAAAGCAAAATATTATCCAAATACTGACGCAGAACCAAGTCGACAGTTTACTAGCATATTTATTTCTCAGAGCTCAACTGATTTTCAGTGAATAGTGTCGATAAATTAGTGACATTTTTGACAATGTGCAGAAAATAAACCAAGAAAAATTCTTCAAACTTTAAATTAAAATTAAGACAACTCGCCCAAGACAGAAAGAGCATGGGTCATATGGCATCTTTCATGAAAAGCTCACATGAAGATTCAGCTCCTTCAACTTCACTTCTAATGAATCCTGTCACAAGTCAAAGTGTGATGGCCATGATGAGGCAGAGAAGTGCAGTAAGTACTGCAATACTTCTTGTAGGGGATCTTCTGTCTCCACTCCCATGGCTGGCTCAGCAGGTGATTCAGCTGGAAAATAATTTTTGTCTTGTAAATAACTATGCTAACTAATGCCCCATAGTACAAAATTTGTAATTTAATTGAAAAATTATAAAACTAACCATACTGCTAGAGAAGTTTAATTCAGCACGCATTTTTAGAAAATACAATCACAATGCAATACACATAAGCTTTGAATTGAAAGCATATTCTATGGGCAAAGCATTGCATAAAATAATATAACAACTTTAATTGTGCAAGGTAATCAATACTCACTTAATTGTTTAAGAAGACTCTTCCAGACTCTTGGATGGTTTTCAGCACTTAAAATGTCTGGACTTCCAGGCTGAAATGCTGCTGGGTTCTTCTTAATTCGAACCTTGGTGCATTTAGTTTTCATTTTTTATGTAAAATTAAAAAATTATTTGCCTAATTGACAAATTTTTTAATTAGTTCTTTTTGAAATTGAAATAAGGGATAAATGACAGAAACAGCAATGATTCTGTGGCTAGCAATGATACAATAAAATGATAAGACAGAGATTAACAGTGCAGACGTGTGTTCAAATGCGGGTTTTTATGCAAGAAATGAAATGTCCTCAAATGAGGCATACTTGGGGAAACTGATGAGCTGGGGCTAATTCAGATAAAAAATGGAGCTGTGTTTCTGATTTGATTGGGAGCACATAAATAATGGAATTAATACTTAATTGTGAAACACCAATATATATACAAAACAAATATTATTACATTCTTTTACAGATATACCTGTGCAGTGAAGAACTAAAGAGAATTTTTAGAAACTAACTTAACTTGTTTGATGGATTTAGTTTGCATGAATTTCAGTTGCAAAAACTTCAACAATTATAAAATAATTTGTATCTTATCCTCACAATTATCTTATCTTATGTATCTTATGTATCTTATCCTCACTATTCCATAGCCAATTTTTAGATATTTATACTCTAGTATTTTAAATAATGGAATCATATTTTAGGTAAACATGTTGGATGCTCTTAAACAAACTGGGTCCACCTTTCCATTTTTTGCAGTATTCCTCATTTTTACCCTATCAGTTGTATCATGCTAAAATTGCTATTATTATTAACAATGAAGATTTATTTGGGAATAATAATTTAAATGAATTAAATACCATCTCTCACTTGTTCGGAGCTTTGAGTTTTGACGTCAGCTACTTCAGTCAAATATAGAAGTGTTGAATGTACCTCTTCATTAATAATACAAATTAATTTTTTAATAATCAACTAATCTTTTAATAAAGCAAAATGTTATTTAGTCACTATATAAGCAATACATTTTCCAGTCAAAAAAGCATTGACAGAAAGTTGCTTATATGACTGAATAAAATATTGCTTTATTTAGCGACTAATTATATATGATATTGCTTTATTAACAGACTAGTTGATTAGTAAATAAGAAATTTGTTATTATTAATATGACAATACATTCAACACTTCTATTTCTATATATGACTGAAAGAGCCTCTCTCCTATGTCTAAGGTAGGGCACAGGTTCCCAAGTGGAAAATTGGGCTGAAGCCACCTGTGAATTGGACAATAGCGCCTATGAATTTGGCCAATTTTACCCATCCCTATGGCATTTTCCTATTTTCTTTGGTAGAAAATAGGAAAACTGGCTCAACTTTTCCAGCAGCTTTTTGAAATCAACCATGAAACAATTGTTTTCATTATCAATTTTTGGAAACTTCTGCCAATATTCCACATTGGGGTAGGGCTGGCGGGCCAATCCCAATTGATGGTACGTCATAAGTCAAAGCTCCGAACAATTAATATAAAATACTAATGTGAATTATTATTCCTAACTGAACCCTTATTGTTGCTAATCTTAGTAATTTTAGCATGTTATTATCATGTTAAGAATAATAGGGTTACATAGTAACAATACTGAATGCTTCACTTATTGAAGAGTGGACAAAATTTGTTTCAGGGCAGCCAAGTTGCCCAAATTGTGATATAACCTGTGATTTTGATTCCAAGTTCCAACCTGATCACAGGATTTATGGGCATGGGCTAATGGTGATCAGATCCATATTTCAAGTTGTGCAACAATATGCTGAAGTTTTGGCATATAAAATTGATGTAAACAAAACATATCAACCAAGTTAGGTTAGTTAGTTCACTGGTTAACTGTAAAAGACTAAATCACAGTGGAATTCTAGGGTTGATGAGCAATCTACATTTCAAGAAGCTGTCTCACTTGTTGAAACAAAAATGTCAGCACAGTCAGCAAGGTTTCAAAAGGAAGCTTCACTTGCAAAAATTCCAATACAATATGATATTCAGACCTGCTCATTTTTGTTACCTCTCATAAAACTACTTTATGAGCAGAGCAGTGTAAATTGTCAACGACAAATTGTCACAAAACTGAGTAACTGACTGAAGTCACCATTCCGCATTCGCCGGGTCGAACCCGTCCGGCCCTCCCTACTGCGGTCAAATCAACAAAGCCCTCAATGTCAATAAAAACTATTTGAATTCCACAGGAATAAAAGCACTATATCCTGAAAGTATCAAAATTTAATACATAACAGGGTGTTTCTCCTCGACCTTGGTGTAAAGCATCACTATCTGGCTCTAGTCCATAGAAGAGTTCAGCAATCGACTGATGTGGAACGAACCAACGCAACTCAAAGTATTAACACTCAAAGAATAGCAGAACAAACATGAGCAACTCAATTGAATAACACACGATACCATGTCATTGGTACAAAAATCACAGCCAACAACAAAAATTAGTATAAACCAACAATAATAATTTGAATAAATTTAGCTTATGAGCAATGTCTTCCACTCAAGATGGCGTCTAGATATTAACTCGACCGATGACTGTGGCGCCATCTACCTCTGAAGTCCAACAAACCACGGTAAATAACCTGAATGACCGGATTACGGTTCATGAACTTCGAAAACAAACGTGTACTGCACATTTTTCGCCCGTTTTTTCTAACAGTGTGGATTGTCAGCCCTGGTGGAGGATGGGTCACATCAAGCAAATGCACTGATAGAAAAATCACCGTTGAACGGTATCACCGGCGTTCTAGTGGCCGGCCGACACGTGAAAAGGAACACCTAATGGCAATTTTTATTTAAAATTAACACTAGAAACCTGTACAACATCTAAAGAAAACAGCGAAACGGTTTACTTTCACGCGGCGGCCGGCCGCTAGAACGCCGGTGAGACCGTTTTTTAACGTTTTTCTAACAGTATGGAAGTAGACAGTCCTCCGGGCGGCTAGTGCAGTAGGTTTTAAGTGTCCATCAGTTTATTAATGACGTTTATTTCTGGTAAATGCAAGACTTAGTTCCACGGGTACACTGTGACATGCCAAAAAGCTGCACCGGTGAGCAGTCCAAGTTTGGTCTCACTTCCCCAATGGGGCGCTCCTTTTTCTTAGAGAACTGATTAGAAGTACGAAAGTAAAACATATGCATCGCTAAATCAGGAAGGTGTTCAGTTTTGCGTTTCGAATGAAAATTTTTGTTTAGGGAAGCTAAGTTGCATTGAGAACTCAAAAAGATTATTTTAAAGTTAACTATCATTATGCTCAAAAGGCTGTTCTTTCAAATATTAGGATATTTGATAATAATTAAAAATTTTTATTAAATTTAGGCAATATTATAGTAAATTTTTGAGCAAAATTAACAAAACTGCTTGCCAATATTTCGCAATATTCGCTGTTCCTTTGGATAACTGCAGTGTCTGTTGTCATCTGAGCGTATCACAGATACCGGTGCGTCCCGTAGGCGAGCCTCGCTTATTTTACCCGCTACTAACACCACCGTCTGATGAATGTACGTTGAATGTTGAATTCAATGATACGTTGAAATCGATATTAATGGAGACGATCTGGATGAATTTAGCACATGGCCACCACACTTCCTCGTGAAATTCCTTAATGGAATACTGGGCTGTTGTTGATAAGACTGAACCTTCGATGATGATGATGTGCACTGATTATTATTAATGTGTTTTGGTGGCGTTGCTTGAAGTTGTCGTCCGCGTTGTGTCGCAGGAGCGTTGATCGCGACCAGCGCCCACCAGGAGCGCCTGCCGATGCCCGGGAGATGGCGGAGCCTCGCCGAGGGACGTCACTTCGTGAACGACTGCGACGTCTCCTGCAGCCGCGCCGTCCTTTGGAGACGTAAGTTGTTGCTGCTCATGACTGATTGCCATCAAATAATTCAGTTGGGTAATTCAGCAATAATACCAGATGGGTAAAACTATAGTAATTCAACTGAGTCTGATTGGTAATTCAGCAGTAATTCGACTGAATAATTCATTAGTAATCCAGCATGCTAGAAGATCTTTCCAATAAGACAAAATAAGAATAAGACACAAATTGCAACATTTATTTCATCTGAAAAACACATTTTACTTTGGATCATTTATCGGGCCTCGTTCAAGTTCCCTGAGAGCGATGAAGGCTGCGGGACTGCGGAATTTGCCTACGCTGTCGTCCAAGGAATTTCTATAAAAATATAACTCAGTTATATTTATATACAGTGAGTGGCAGAGAGCTCATTGTCTCGTCCGTCCTTGACGTGAACTCACGGACGGACGGACATGACGAGCACAATAGCCTTTTTTCCATATCTAAAAAAATACGCTAAAAAATTCTTTCCTACGATTCTTGTTGTCATTATTTAAGTGACATGAAATATCGAGCCTGGTCGCAAGTTCAGCGTTAATTTTTCGTTAAGGGAGAGTGTGGGTAGGAAAAGCGTTCATAAATTTATCGATACTGCTAAAATTTTAAATTCACATGTAAAACACTTCTACAAGCACATTTGTTCTATGAATTTATTGAGCAAACGGAAGCAGACATAAAATGCAAAGAAAACATTAAAACTTAACTCTTAACAATTTTTGAACTCATAGTTTTGGAAAATAACAGAATATTCCTAACACAAATGACCATCGCCCTTTTTGGATATCGTTTTCACTTCCTTTGGAGTTTTTTCTTTCATCCCAATCTCCATGCCTTTCATCCTGCAGTGCCGCGCAAGTCAATTCGGACAGCGCTAAAAAGACAAATTTTGGCTAAATTTTAATTTGATGTTCAAAAAATATGTGAATGGTACAAGAGATGATACAGTTAATAAGAGAATTGACCTTCTCTTGCTTTTATTAGCATTTGAACGATTTGGCATGGATTTCACAACATTTCAACACATTTCAGCCATTTCTTCATCATTATACCAGGTCGCTTATTAGGCCAGGAAAGACAACGTGTGTCAGCGCCGGCAGCTATGCTCATTTTGTGCAGGCATAGTGAACAAAAGTCACGAGTTTCTTTACTTTGAGTAAATTTTATCTTTTCCGTGAAGTTAGGAACTGTAGGTAG